ATTTTAGCCCAATCACATGTCTTTGATGAGAGTTATTTCTAACAGGCATCATGCAAATTAGCAAGTCACTAGTTTCAGCAATAGAAAACATTAGTTGTTGATTGAGATACTGGTCACAGAAGGACTTCTAGCTGCTTTGAAGCTGGCAGTCTCTGATGTGACCCTGGCTGAACACTCTCAGAGTACCTTTCCTAGTAGTGTGACCACCTGGCAGACGTATCAGATCATCCTGATTATTCTGAAGCAGGGGTCCCCAGCCTCCGGGCCACTGAAGCTTCATCTGTATTTAGAACTGCTCCCCATCACTTGCATTATGGCCTGAGTACCTCCTCCTGTCAGATCAGCAGTGGCATCAACCTCTCATAAAAGAATACTCTTGGTTATCCCCTGGTCATAGCCCCCACCAGCCTCTTCCTCTGGCTTCCTTCTTCTGGTCATAAGTTCAAAATGCTAACTGCCTATAACTCTTTGGGAGACTGATTCTTCTGGACTGAACCTAGAATAGTTCAATTCTTTGTTCTCTGTAAGACTCCTACTTATTTAAACAACTGTCACATGATATTGGCTTAATTTAACCTTATATTTATATAAAACACTTGTCATATGATGTTTGTTTAACTTAATGTTAAATTCCAAAGCCACTAGGGATAGGAAGTTCCTTGAAGGGCAAGGACACTCTCTTTTTTTTTGATATTTCCAATGCACAGGGTACTGCCTGACACATGGACAGCAAAAAGATTTGCTGGGTAAAAGAAAGACAACTAATATTACCATATCTATGGCACAGAGTAAAAGCTTATCCTGGTGGTAGTTCATAGGATGGAAGATTATTACTTATATAATAGATAACATTTTTACAACCTTTATTATAAGCTAGGCTCAATTCTGGAGAAGGCAATGGCAACCCACTCCAGTACTCTTGCCTGGGAAATCCTGTGGATGGAGGAACCTGGTAGGCTGCAGTCCATGGGGTTGCTAACAGTCAGACATGACTGAGCAACTTCACTTTCACTTTTCACTTTCATGCATTGGAGAAGGAAATGGCAACCCACTCCAGTGTTCTTGCCTGGAGAATCCCAGGGACGGGAGCCTGGTGGGCTGCCATCTATGGGGTCGCACAGAGTCGGACACGACTGATGTGACTTAGCAGCAGGAGCAGGCTCAATTCTAAGTACTTTATATTTATTTGTTCATTTAATCTTTATAAAAATCCCATGCAATAGATACTATCAACATCATTCCCATTTTATAGGTGAGGAAGTTGAGGTGCTGGAGTGTTAGATAATTTGCCCAAGATCACATAGCCAGGAAATGAGAGAATTGGATTGGAACTCAGACCACCTGACTTCAAAGCATGTGTCATTTTTCTTACATGTAGCAAGTAGGAAGAAAATTAAATTTTTACTGCAGCTTCACATCCTACACAAAAATAATGTGTAACATGGTTTCAAATGATCTTCTGCCAGTCAAATGGCTAAGACGTAACAACTAATCAATCTGGGAACTATCAGGGAATTTGGGCCACCATTCAGGCAACTATAGCCATGGGAATCAGCTGGGAGGAGACAGAAGTTTGCCTCTGATATCCATTTCCTGGAAATGCATTTATAAGTGTGTGTGTGTGTGTGTGTATGTGTGTATGGGTGGGAGGGATTGTCCGGGAAGAAAGAGAAGGTTGAGAAACAGAGGAAGAGGAACCTTACAGAAGAGGAACCCTCTTTCGACTTTTGTTCTTGGGGCAGCCCCGGTCACACAAGTGCATCCATAGTGCCTTGCATCAGACAGTGGTCATAACTGAGGCCTGTGGTCACCTGATTACTGCCATGCAAGAATGACACCCAGTCCCATCACTTCAGGGCAAATAGCTGGGGGGAAAGTGGAAACAGTGGCAGATTTTATTTTCTTGGGCTCCAAAATCACTGCAGACAGTGATTGCACCCACAAAATTAAATGACACTGGTTCCTTGGAAGAAAAGCTATGACAAACCTAGGCAGTCTAGTAAAAAGCAGAGATATCACTTTGCCAACAAGTGTCTATATAGTCAAAGCTATGGTTTTTCCAGTAGTCATATACAAATGTGAGAGTTGGACCATAAAGAAGATTGAGTGCCGAAGAATTGATGCTTTCAAACTGTGGTGCTGTAGAAGACTCTTGAGTCCTTTGGACAGCAAGGAGATCAAACCAGTCAATACTAAAGGAAATTAACCCTGAATATTCATCGGAAGGACTGATGATGAAACTGAAGCTCCAATACTTTGGCCTCATGATGTAAAGAGCTTACTCATTGGAAAAGACCCTGATGCTGGGAAAGATTGAGGGCAAGAGGAGAAGGGGCTGGCAGAGGATGAGGTGGTTGGATGGCATCACCAACTCAATGGACATGAGTTTGAGCAAACTCCAGGAGACAGTGAAGGACAGGGAAGCTAGGTGTGCTGCAGTCCATGCGGTTGCAAAGAGCCTGAAATGACTGAGCTGCCGATCAACAGCAAGGGATGGAGACTCTGTGTGCTAGAACTTCCAGTTTTTATGAGAACAGAAACCCTGCATTTTGGGTGAGATGCCCTCATTTTTAAAACTATATACTTCACCCTGCTGGAGACAAAGTCTACCAGCTTGAAAGCTCAGATCTTAGACCACAGGATGTCCCAGGATTCAGAATTGTAAAGACTTACTGAGGATCCAGAAGGAAATGCAAATGTTTGCATGTAAGTTACTGCAACAAGCCACAGGTTTTTCTGGAGCTTCCCCAGGAATTGCCTTGGATTTGCAGAAGGATTCTCACTCATACTTTCCAACTGTCATACATGTATGCACCACTTCACAGTTTTTGCCACATTTGCATACCACTCATATCATGATTTATTTAATACTTTTCTCCTTATTGGCTCTATATTAATTCACTTTTTAAAACCAGGGCTGCCATTGCCTGTAATAAAATCATGGATTGGATGTGCTAGACACAGTATTTCCTAAGTACGTTAATAATAAACAGACAACTAGTAGAATTAACGTTGCTTATTCTGCCTACCACTTAAAATCATTCTCTGGTGATACACTTTTCATTATTAGGTAGCACTAACATTCTGAAACAGACTATTTCAGACAAGGCTAAGATGAACTGTCAGGAAAGCAGAAAGAGACATAATTGCACTGGACTGGAAGGGGAGGAAGAAGAGCCGGAGTAGAGAGCAGAAATTCTCTTTCATTCAATAAAAAATGTGGGAGCTGGATGTTTCCCTGTAATAAGATGTGCTGTGGTTTTATTAAAGAACTCCCCGCCCCTTCCACTGGTTTAGGGGAAAAAAAAAATCTCTGCCTATCTCCCATATTTCATTTGCCTGTTATCTCCCTCCTACTAAAAACAATTTGCATGAAAACAATCAGACTCTTTGTTCACAGGAGTCCTTGGGCTCCTGCTGTTTTCTTGCTCACTCGGGCTGGTGCTTTTTCTATGGTTTAATCATAAGCCTCTACTTTGGGGATGAAGCAGCAGGTAGTGGAGCCAGGCTATAGGCCCGGGGGGAGGTGGTATTTTCAATTAGAATGCTTGAGGGCTGAGTCCAGGGGAAGAAGCTCCTTCGAAGTGAACCCACAGGAGAGACGAAGCAACTGTGAGCATCCAAGGGGGTGGGGGTTGGGGGGGGACTAGATTTTTGAAAGTGAATGGTACAAAGACTGTTCCCCTCCAAAGTAATAGATGCTGACAGGAAGGCGCCTTTCTTCCCAGCATCTTGCCTTAGGCGCAAATGACAAGTGGACAGCCATCAAGGTCCAGTCCTTGGCACCCTTAGCGGGTATTATCACCCCGCTGCTGGATGGAGCTCCCCTCCTGACACTGGCAGGAGAGAGCATTGTTGTTTTCCAGGAATGATGACGGCTATTCCACTCTTCCATCTTGTTTTAAAAAACTTAAAAAAAAAAAAAAGAAAAGAAAATTGTAATAGCAATTCTTCGGAATGGAGACCATGCTTGTGTTCTGCCCATCACTGAATTGCTAGTGATGTCCAGCATGTAATGAATGTTTAATATTAGTTCAAGTCAATTAACCAATTTAAATGATTTATTAATTATTTAACACATTTTGGGGGAGAAGGTGAAGCAATACAAAAATAGAAATAAGAACTACTAATAATTCCACCCACAGAGATAGCCTGTTAATATTTTGATAAATTTGTTTCTAGTCTTTTGGCATATATCTTTTTTTCCCCACATAAAATTGAGATCATGCTATTTAGGATGAATTTTATATGCTGCTTTTAAACTCATGTTATATCATGAGAAATTTCCAAGATCATTTCAGTCTTCAAAAAACATCATTTTTAATGACAGCATGACATCCTAAAGCATGAGTATGACGGTTTATTGAGCACCCACCTTGTCAGATATTCAGGATGCTTTCGGTTCTCCCTCGGGACTCAGCACAATCAGTGGTCATCGAATTCATGGTGCTCCTTCTAGGTAGCTGGCACTGAACCTGACCCCGGGGCACAGAGGAGGAGGACCACTCCGAGTTCACACTCACAGGCGAGGGGCAGTAGTGGGAGGAGAGGCAGAACTCAGCAGTTCTCAGATGCCGAGGGAGGGAGAGGGTCAGGAAGGAGAAAGAAGACAAGTGCTGGAGGGGCGGAGAAGCCCCAGCACCTCTTTGCAAACTGTGCTTGGCCCCTGCATCTTCCCCTAGTTCGGTAAGGCTCCCCCACCAGGCCCCACACCGCGCATTTTGCAGTCCCCCCACTCCGCAGCAGGGCCTCCATCCACTGCCTTCCCGTCCCAGTCCCTTGTCTTACATCCTTTACTGCCGCCTCCCCTGACTCAACTACCTCCCTGTTAGATGCACTCTCACAATCGATGCTCTTATTTGTCCATTTTCTAGCCATTTCTGTTATCTTCCATCACTGCAAGCCTCCTCCACTGGACGCCTCACAGGTAATAAAAATGTATTGAATAAATGAGTGGATGGGGCTGAAAGCCAGTTCTCTTTTTTGTGAAGCTACGACAGAGGTGGGCACGCGGAGACATGGACGAAAACACACAGGGAGAGCTTCTCCTGTGGCCGCACCTGTGGCCAAGGAGAAGCATTTCCTTGGTAGGCTCCTGCGTACACAGCAAGGCAGGCTTGGCCCACAGGATGGGGCCAGGAATCAAACCCGTGAACTTGGCATCAGTAGCTCCCCGCACTACTCCTCTGACATGGAGCGACAGGGAAAAGGAAGGAAGGTGGTGGCACTGCTTCTTGTGCCCCCCGCCCCGGCCCCCAGTTTCCTTACTGTCAAGGGAGAGGGTGTCTTTGGAAGGGTCTCCATGCATATCAAGCAGCCAGAAGGCAGCCAGGAGGAGAGGGAGACTTTCGTCTGTGAGTGCCACAGAAAAAAGGACAGAGAATTTAGGGACCTGTCTGGTGGCAACACGTTCAGCCATGGAAGAATCCACTGCTGATAGCTCCTCCTTATACATTATTCATGAAAACAGGAAGACAGAGCCGATAATATCAGAATGATGCTGCTGTCCAGCAAATCCAATGACTGTAGCTCGAGGGCATTTTAACTAGCATGGAAAAGAAAAAGATCTTTTGCCAGTTCGAGGTCTGGGAAGCTTAGAAAGCTCACTCTAACTTGAAGAGCTGGCATGAGTTTTGTATTTGGAAAAAGGCGTGGCCATCCGTCAGTAGCATCTGCTTCTTTGTGGTTGCTGGGTGCCTCCCCCGCACCCCCACCATTTCTTCGATTCTAATGGAGAAATTAATGCTGCTCTAGTTAAATAGCCCTAGGTTTTCAAATCAGTTTCTATTTTCATATCTGTCAGTCAAAAGGCAGGGACAAGCTCTTGGACTTTGTGGAGGGCTTTGACGGATTTCAACATAAATTATTAGCTTCTAATCTTTCCCAGCCTCAGGGACGAGGGCTTTTTAAACAGTGAGAGTATTCTGCTGTTGCTGAAATCTGATTTCTCCTCCCCAGTTTTTGATTCATTACAACTGCAAGATTCATTCCCTCCTAAATTCCCCCTCCAACTTGCTGTCAAATAAGCCAATAGGTTGGTTTGTTGAAGGAGGAGAGAGAAAATTGGGAGGGTAGGTCATTTCAGTGTTCCCAAGGGGTAGAGGCAGGGAGACGGAGAAGGCAGCTCACTGCAATTCTTTTTTAATTTATTTATTCTTGATTTGCCTGTTATTTTCTATCCTTTGTGTAGAACATTCTGGCTCCTTGAATATCGGTTGATACATTTAATTACACTCATTCATTCATGCCACAAACAGTTATTGAGGGTGAACGAATTGTCATGGGTGCTTGCAAACTAAAGCACAAACCAAGCATGGTGTCTGCCTCCATGCAGCTTATCATCTCTGCAGGCAGATGGACGTGTGATCATCATCTCTGCAGGCAGATGGACGTGTGATCATCATCTCTGCAGGCAGATGGACGTGTGATTATCATCTCTGCAGGCAGATGGACGTGTGATCCAACTGCTGCTCAGAACAGCGTTTCTCCAGGTATGCCAGGAGAGGAAATGATTGCGGAGGGTCTTCAGATGATCAGGTTTTATTTCAATAATTATTTTATTTTCATGTGTATTATAGAAACATAACTAGCTCTTCCAACCTGTAATTTCACAGACACCTGCTCAGGAGGCTGGTGGATTTAAAGAAGATATTAATAATAGACCAAGCTGTATAAGGATATGGCAAAATCACAAAGTTGGATGATAATAATAATATCGAATATTTAAAAGTGCTTAGGATGGGCCAGGTACTTTTAGTAAGTGTTTCACAATTTTTTTTTTTTTTTTTACAATCTCTTCTGATTCCTGGAGAAACATTGCAGTAGTTTGAATGAATGAAATGAAGGGATATTCAAGAAGACAGAACATTCCAGCGGAAGGACAGAAAATAACAGGTTCACCCTCTCACTGGCTGCTCTTGTTCCTGCTCCCTTCAGGGGATGAGACAGCCTAGTACCCTTCCTGGGACTGTCTGGATGTCAGTCTGAAGACCCACTCTACCCACAGCCAGGTCCCAGGACTGGATGGGTAGGTGGCTGGGGTAGGGAGAGTGGACGCAGGAAGTCCAGTTTGAGCCTGGGTAGTATCTTATTCAGCAATCCAGCTGTATTCATAATAAGCTAGTTCTGTCAATACATTTCAATCTCCAACTGGTTCCTTGTTTGGCTTGGTTAAGAATCTGGAAGGGAGGAGGCAGGTAATTAATTCATAGTAACAACTATTCACATTCATCACAACCTCATGTTTGTCCATCACCATCATGTGAATAGGGAAACAGGCTCAAAGAGCTCAGAGAACTTGCTAGAGGTCACAGCTAGTGAATGGCAAAAGCAAGTATTCAAATAGATGTCCTTCTCTCACATCTTTAAAAAAATTCTTATTTCAGGTAGCTAAGCTAGTCTTCTTCAAAAATCTCTAACATGCTAGTATAATTGCTAGAAATCACAAAGTTTAAAGGAATATTCTCTCTGCAATTTTTGATGTACAATTCAAGTCTTACAAAATGAAATAATCATATGAATGATTAAATTATAATTATGACAGAGGGGTAGCTGCCTATTTGGATAGACTTAAACATTTCACTGCACTGAGTATTAACACTGGCCAATTTTTCCCTTTCATTCTTCTCTGAATTCCAATGAATTTTTCATCAGCTTATTAATTAGCACAAATCTTGGATTGTGCTTTGTAATTAAGGTCTATGTGTTCCTCCAGATCTTATAGTTGAGTTAAATGTTCATTTTTCACAGAGGAAAATTAGCAATTTGACGATTGCCTTCCTCCCTGGCAATAGACTATACATGCTGCCTGTCAAAAAAAGACTGAGTGCCTGAGTTTCTAAGATAGGGAGTGACAGATTATTCAGCATGAAATTGCAAACTCATTTGCCCAATATCATAATCAATTGCTGACAGCAGGTTTTTGCTCCCCCAGAAATGCATTTGGTAGTCCAGTCACTGAACCTTAACTAGAATGCCAGGACTTGCTATTAGTCTTAAGTTTTCTGTAGTCCATGTCTGGGTTTGCCTTGTAAGAAATTCAGAGTCACCAAAAGAGGTGACGTTATCTAGTCTGGGCACATTTTCCCATGGTATTATTACTACCCATAGTAATAGTAGTTCTCACCACACACTCTTGGGAGACAGTTCTCTGTGGATCTCTTGTATTTCCACATGTTTCCTAAGTAGAAGCACTGACCCCCTTTGTTCTGACCTATCTTTTCAAAGCTGATTGTTAGTGAACAATGGTTGCTGCCTGTTATAAAATATCTGGGTTCCCTAAACTCAGGGTTCCCCTCCTCTAATGCGGCCCATTGTATGTGCAGTTACCATCTTTGCATTCCTCCATGGGAATCGAACTCAGGGAATGACTGCTGCTCTCTCTATTGCTATTACTGTGAGTAATAAAGTCCATTATTTGCCTCTGACCAGGAGTCTTGTGTTATCGGCCAGCATTCATGAAAGAGTAGCAGACTAATTTGTTAGCTTACAAATAGCGTAAATCCTCAAATCTTTTCTAGTTCTTGGTAGAGACCAGTAACCACTTAAAAAATAAATACACAAATATTTATATGTAACATCTATTTGTTAACGTCCTTATGAGGGAGGTTATTACAGTTACCCTCATTTTACAGATGAGGAAGCTGAGGCAAGGAGATGTCACCAAGGTGGACACAGGATGAAGGGTGTGGACCAGGAAGTGTGATTCTGGTATCTGATCTCTGCTTCCTTCCTCTCCTCTCTTGAGTGGAGACCCCAGAGCTGGCTTCAGCCACTGAATTTCACTCTGAAAATGCTGCTTGGTACATGTCCAAGGGCAGATTGACCAGATGTGGGTGTTCATGCTGCTCCTTCTAAAAAGTTCCAGGAAGTTCTGTGTATTCACTGCATAAGCATCTATAAAGCACCAATGTGCCCCATTCCCGCTTTCCAGGAGAACAGAAAAGAAAGCTCTCTGGCTGCAGCCTGTGGTGGCCTGAGTGCTGAGGGTGGGGATTCGTCCAGAATGGCCTCGCTCCCTCTTATAGTTTCCACCGGACAATGTCTTTAGGACATCCTGCCCAAGACCATTGTCCTCCCCGGCCCTGGCCCACTCTCCCCAGGGCAGTTCCGCTTTCCAATAATATGGTCAATTATGGTGTCGCAAAGAGTCAGACATGACCGAGCAACTAACACTTTCATTATTAATAATAGTAAAACTATTAGTAGTAGTCATAGGAAAAAAATAAATTAAAAAAACCCCACAATGATAATACTGTCATTCAACAAATCCATGCTGTGTGCTTACTGTATAGCTGGTGCCAAGATGGGCATTTGGGATAGACACTGAGCTAAACTAAATCCTTGTCCTCCGGGAGCTGGCTCGGCTGAGGAGACAGACAAGAAGCAGGCAGACGAATGTAAGCTGACACCAGGCGTGGATAAGTTGGAGGAGGAGCGGAGTGAGGCGCAGAGAAGGATGGCGGGGGGCTGTTTAGAGGGTGGGGGTGGGGCTTTCTGGAGAGGGGACACTTGAGCCAGGCCCTTAGCGGAAGGGTCACTCCTTCCTGCCGGACAGATATTTGCTGCGTGCCGAGTAGACACTATGGGCTCTGGGGACACTGGAGTGAACGGAAGATGAGCGCCCTACTGTGGAGAGACAGATAACCAAAGCCTGGGGCATGGTGATGGTGGGAAGGCAGGACAAGGGGCACGGCAAGGAGCTGCACGCTGGAACAGGGGAGATCAAGAGGTCTCACCGAGAAGGTGGCATCTGGGCAAAGTCCTGAAGGTGGGAAGGGAAGGAAGCCGGGGGGTGACGGGGACAAGAACGTTTCAGAGAGAAGGGACAGCGGGGGCAAAGGCTCTGACGGGCTCGGTGCACAGTATCTGACCCCCGTGGCTGGAGCAGAGAGAGCTGAGGCAAGATCAGATCAGAGTTAAGGACACCGGCTTTTACTCTGTGTGGGATGGGAAGCGATCAGAGGGTTCTGAACGGAGGCAGCAGTTCTCTGACTCATAAAAGGGTAAGAGTTACAACCCTCAGGATGGCTGCCACGGATTACCGCCACTACAGTCACCGGGGCTGCCCCACTGGCTCAGCGGTAAAGAATCCGCCTGCCCAGGCAGGAGCCCCGGCTTTTATCCCTGGGTCAGGAAGGTCCCCTGGAGAAGGAAATGGCAAACCACTCCAGTATTCTTGCCTGGAGAATCCCATGGACAGAGGATCCTGGCAGGCTACAGTCCACAGGGTCTCACAGAGTTGGACACAACTTAGGGACTAAACCACCATCACCATGACCATGCCGGTCATGTGGGGGCCAGCAGGGAACCCTTGCAGCCAGGCTCCAGGTAAGCGGTACTATTGTGCCCACAGCACAGATGAGCTCCTGGAGGCAAAGGAGAATCACAGGACTTTCCCCAAAGTCGCACGATTACTCCCCACAGGACTCTTGTGATCTTAGCCCAGCTGGGCCCTCCACACAGCCCAGCGAGCTGTGCGCCTGTGAGTTCTCATCTTTTCTATGTCTTGTTCTCCAGAGTCAAGTGCATCGCCACCCCACTCCTCTTTCTGCCTTGGGGGGTCCCACACTGAGAAATATATCATCACTCTTGACCCCAGCATCTAGGCATCCTTCTTTCTTTGAGAGCCTCACCTGCCCACTTGCCTGCATAGCCCAGGGCTGGCGGGGCCAGGCCCAGTTGCCGCCACGTCTGTGGGCCATGTGTTGGGTTCACAGTACCAACCACTTTCATTCATGGCCTCCTTTCTGCAGTGCAATCCCCAGCCCCGTGCCTCCTCCCTCCTCTCCCCTCTGAAGTGGGCCTCACTCATCCTGCCCCTGAGCTGTTAGTAGCTGGGGCTCAGGGACGCAAGCACACTTTCTCCATCGGGATTGCTCCAAGGTGGGGACCCCGGGAATGGCCACCTTCTCAGACTCCACCCCACGCAGCACCTGGTCAGACTCTCTGATGACCATGTCTCGGGATCCTACACCCAGCCCTCCACACGGGTACATCCTAATGTCTATTCTTGACCATCTTCTCCTTCTGCGGACATCAGTCCATGGTTCTTGTACTCAAGAACATCCCAATCATATTTCCAGCCCCATCTTATATCCTACATTTTAGACTCTCCAACTGTCTACCTGTCCACCCAGAAGTCCCACAGATGCCTGGGCACTCCTGACACCGCCTGAGCCAACGTAACCACCTCCACCACCTCCTTATAGCGTTCAAAGCCCAGCTTCTGTCTGCTCTTTTTCTCACTATCCCTTCCCATCAGTTTACAGCACCGTAGATTCTCCCACTCCACAGTCGGCCGCCCCCTTCCCCTTCTTACCACGAATGCCCTGGCTGCTTCCTTCACCCATTCACCCTCCCCTCGACCATTACAACGATCTGGGTACAAGTCTTCTTATCTCTTGCTCAGTGATTCTCAGAAGGATCACCTGGGATGCTTCTTCAAAGTGCAGATTCTCAGGCCCCAGCCCCGGAGACACTGGTTGAGTCTGGACTCATGGTAGGATTCAGGAATCTGCATTTTTTAATAAGCTCCCCAGGGAGTGAAATAAGAGTGTCCCCACTGACTCTGTATGAAATGACCTCACTAAGCCTCTCCTTAACCGCATCCATCATCCACGTGATTAATCACTACAACTATTACTACCCAATATTTCTTACACACCACATCTGAAGACTGTGTTGACTCCTCCATGTGCATTTGGCCCACTAAACAACTTTTTATTTTAACTACTAGCAGGAGCCCCATTTTAACCTTTGAGAAGACTGAGGCACAGAGCAGAGAACTAAGTTAACTAGCCCGAGGGCACAGTCTCTCTGACACAAACCGAGTTCTCAGGATCACATTTTATAATCCTCTTTGCTCCCCATGGCCCGTCTGCTCCGATGACCTCAGTTCTCCAAACATACCTTGCTGCTCTATACCCCTGAGCCTTTGTCCCGTCAGTCTCTCCCTTTCAAATGACCACCTGTATTCATTTTCTATGGCTGTTTAACAAATTACCACAAAGTTAGCAGCTTGACAAAGCGTGGCTGGTTCTCTGTTTCAGTCCGTTCAGTTCAGTCGCTCAGTCGTGTCCGACTCTTTGTGACCCCGTGGACTGCAGCACGCTAGGCTTCCCTATCCATCACCAACTCCTGGAGATTGCTCAAACTCATGTCCATTGAGTCAGTGATGCCATCCAACCATCTCATCCTCTGTCGTCCCCTTCTCCTCTTGCCCTCAATCTTTCCCGGCATCAGGGTTTTTTCCAGTGAGTCAGCCCTTCTCATCAGGTGGCCAAAGTATTGAAGTTTTACCTTCAGCATCAGTCCTTCCAATGAATATTCAGGACTGGTTTCCTTTAGGATGGACTGGTTGGATCTCACTGCTGTTCAAGGGACTCTCAAGTCTTCTCCAACTCCACATTTCAAAAGCATCAATTCTTTGGCACTCAGCTTTCTTTATGGTCCAACTCTCAAATCCATACATGACTACTGGAAAAACCATAGCTTTGACTAGGTTCTCTGTTTAGGTTCCCACAAAGCTAGAGTCAGGGTGTTAGCTGGTGCGCTGTTCTCCCATGGAGCTCAGGGTTCCCTTCCAAGCTCACTGGCTGCTGGCAGAAGCTAATTTCTCCTCTTTCTTTGCTGGCAGTCAGCCAGGGGTTACTCTCAGCTTCTAAGGGCTGCGCAGTTTACTCACTGCCCCCCTTCATCTCAACAGCTAGCAGAGGAGAATCTTGCCCCTAATAAATCCTTTGCATGCTTCTAATCTTTTGCCAGGAAAAAGTCTAATTACATTTAAGGCTCACCTGCTTAGGTCAGGCCCGCCAAAGGTAGTTTCCAGATTTTAAGGTCAGCTGATTTGGGACCTTAACTGCATATGCAAAATCTCTTACCACTGCACCCAAATTAGCATTTTCTTAGTGACTGGGGGAATGTGTGTGTGTGGGTGGGTGGGGAGGAGGAGCTGAGGACTTTGAGAACCATCTTAGAATTCTCCTACCACACCATCTAATCTTCAAAATTTAGCTCAAGGATTTCTGCCTTCCTCAATGCCTCCAGGAACAGTTAGATCCACCTCCAATACCCGTCCCCCCTACCCCCCCCCCCCCGCCCCCAGCATCCAATACACTCTTTTAACATTTGTCCACTGTTTTTTCCTCTCTGTTGCCTCCCCTCTGGGCTGTGAGCTCCTTGAGTGGAAGAACTAAGACCTGGTCGTGTTTGTATCCCCACCATCTACAGCAGCTTCCAGCTCAATGCTTAACTTGCTGCCCGAGAATTAGTGACGACGTGCCCAAGCCAGCTCTACAGATAGGAAGAGCATGTTAACTAGAGTTGCCTACGTTGCAGGGAACGCGCTGTTGATGCAGGCCTGACAGCGCTTCCTGGGAAGTCCCAGGAAACATCAGTGGTACCCGGTGCTCCCAAGGCTTCTAGCGACCAGCAGGCAAGTGCCGCCTCCGAACCCCCAGGGAGCACCAGCCCCGCTGTGTTGGTGAGGCGCATGTGCCACTAGGTGTCACTCCCGATTCAGTAAAGAGAACCCGGAATCTCAGAAAGCAGTTTAGGCTTTTCTATGAAGGGAGCCGGTTAGACAGCCCTCACCCATTATTTTCCTCTGGTTCATACTGGAAAGCACCCCGTGTTCCTCAACTCCCTCCACTGACACAGTCTGAGTTTAAAAAAGGACCGCAGAATCAAGGGCTTGGCAGGTAAGGGTCACCTGTCCATCTAATTCAAATCTCCAGATTTTGCATTTGAGCTACAAGAGGGGGAGGCTGGGGGCAGAGCAGGCTTCAGCGGCCATGTGGGTCAGAGCGCCGCTCCCTCGCTTTGGGGATCTGCCAGGAGGGTACAGGTGGGTCCAGGCTCCTGGCCTGAAGGGGGTCTCCTGGCTGGTTCCGGGGCCTCCACCGCGGGGTGCCCCCAGGACCAGTTCCAAGCTTAGGCCACTCTTGGGCTCTTTTCCTGCGCCTGCACTCCAGAACCCAGAAAGGGGAAGATGATGTGGTCACAATAGAGTCCTGTGGGTCCTATTAAACCTGCCATTTCTGGTCATCTCAAGCAATCTCTTTGTTCTTTGGACTTCAAAGATGAGAAGTGGAGAGGCCGGGAGCACTCCGGTTTCCCGGGATCTGAGCCATCAGAATGTGCAGTTAAACACAGTCATTCCCCCTTGAGTCGGAAAAAGTTCAGGGCTCTAAGAGTGGGGATTGGAAAATGCTTGTGAAGAGCACTTCCTGGGAGACAGTTTGAGTCGTTTTTTTCTTCCCCTCTACTTTTCCCTCTGGAAGAAGTTAGTATTTGCTCCCGAGGTTCGGGACAGACCGACGAGCGTGCGGATGCATTTTCCTTCACCCCCGGCAGAGGGCGCCCTCCCCTCGCGCCCGCTCCCCTCCGGGCAAACGCTCCCGCCCGCCCCACGCCCGGCTTGGTCTAGGTTTAGACCCCCAAACCCAGTGCCTGCAGCCCTGTCCTGAGGATAACTGCAAAGTCACTTCTGTCAGACCTTGGACATAGCCCTTGAGTATCTTGTTTTCTTTGCTCCAGCAGATACACTGTTCCTTTTTCTTGTGACCATTAAGTGAATATTAAAATTCATTTGCACTTCCTCAAGCACTGGGTAATAGAGAGAGCTTGCCTGGCTGGATGAAAGTGGAGCTAAGGAAGCTGGCTTAGGGTCCAGACTCCTGCAGAGGTCTCATAGTTCATCCACACAGTGAACAATCATTCATCAATATGATACGTTCCTTTAAAACTTGCAAAGGGGTTTTCCCACATAGAGCTGGATGGATTCTATTTGTTAAGCTCTTTCCTCTTTGAAAGAAAAGGTGGATTGATTCAGTTATTTTTCAACCAGTATTTTAGTGAATGCCTTCTGCTCTCCAGGTACTGGGGCGAAGAAGGCAGGCTTGGTTCCTGATTTCGGTGGAACTCATGCTCTAGTTGGGGAGACATACTGAACAAACAATTGCAGAAGACATTACTTTGCTACAGATGAGATGTATGCTACAAAGGAGAAGCAGAGGCTGTGGGGAGAGGGTGCCAGCTGAAGTCTTCACCTGAATCTTGCGCACAGCTCTCCTCTTTATTCACCCTAATGCTGTCTTCCCTGCTCATAGTGCTGCCAGTTGGCAGAAATTCTGTCCGCCCCCCTCAAACAGATGTGTCAGGGCCTTCAAGCCTGCACATCCCCAGGCGAAGTAAGAGAGTCATTCTTGCTGGACTCTCCTCTTTACTGCTTCACACTCCTGGGCTGGGTGCCACGAGGCAAGACATCAGCTCTTTTGCATGATGAAATTTACATTACAGTTTTCTCCTGAGGCCTGATGACTAACAAGGTCTGAAAACAACAATTCTAGGTACTACCTCCTTCTCAGTGTTTATTAAGCACTTACTAGGAATAGGCCTGGATGTTCAGCCAAGGATGCAAAAAAGCACTAGAGACAAAAGGAATATGCTAATAAAGACTGAGCAGTGGTACTGGCTAACGACTCCCGGGATTTGGGATTTTATTAACAGCTAAAAATGAGAGCTTTATTAGTTAGGATCAGGTCCAGTTAATTAGGTAAGAGGATAAAAGAAGTTCCATACAACAGTGGCTTAAACAAGAGATAAAAAGGTTTGTCTCTACTGTGAAAGTCTGGAGGCAGGTACTCCTGGGCTGATAGGGAAACTCAGCTCCAAGAAGCCTTCAAGGACCAGGGGATTCCTTCTGCCTAATTTCTCTGCTTAACCTCCATTCCTAAGTTCACGGTCATCTCAAGGTCCAAGATGGTTGCTCCAGTTCCAGCCATCATATCCAGCAGGAGGGAGAAAAGGATAAAGGGGCAAAGGGTGAGTGATGGATAATTTATAAAGAGGGTTTCCAGAATAAGACTCATCCACTTACAAGTTATCAGACAGATCTTAGACACATGGCCCGTATAACTGCAAGGAAGATGGGATGTACAGGTTTTATTTGGGGGAGCCCAAACCAGAGATCCTGTTACTAGCAGTCTTTGCCACTGAGCCTGACTTAGAGTGTTGAATTTTAACTTTACCACTACACTAAGTATTATATAAAATTGAAAGTTAGTTGCTCAGTTGTCCGACTCTTTGCGAGTCCATGGACTGTAGCCCACCAGGCTCCTCTGTCCATGGGATTCTCCAGGCAAGAATACTGGAGTGGGCTGCCATTTGAAAATGCCCTGCTGATTCTTCTTCCTTAATATATCACAGATCCATCCTCACTGACACAGCCCTTCGTAATTTCTCACCTTGCCTTAAAGTAATAGCCTCTCGCTGTTGCCAGGGTGATCAGTCCAAGATGCAAATGTGCTCATATTAGCCTTATGCTTAAAGTGCCTTGGAGGATCCCTATTGCCTTGAAAGAAAATGCAAGCTTCTTAAAAAGACTGAAAGCCCTGTTGTCATTTCGCCCTGGTGTTTTCCCTAGCCTCTCGCTCATGACTGTCCCACGTGCACCCAACAATCCAGGCCTGTTAGGCTACCGGCAGGTCCCAGGATATTCCATTAGCACCCTCTCAGTCTGGAATAGTTCCTCCTCCCTTCTTGGCAGCTGGCTAATTCCTACTGTCCTTTACAAACTTTGCTGAGGTTACCCTTACTCAGAATCTTTGCCAGTCCTATGTCCTACACCCCTGGCATCTTTTCGCTCTCCCTGCTACCTCCATACACAAAGCCAGACCTATTCAAAGGACAGGATGCCGTTGCCTGGGCAACAGTGAATACCAGCCAATAGTTGGATCACCAGCTGACTCCTCCGTGCAGTTCCTGTTGGTAGATTTCTGGTTGGCACTGCTGGCCATGCCCTTTTTCTTGAAAGACTCTCTCCCTCCTTGGTCATGCCTTTCCCCTGGCCCTCTTACCCTTTCCCCTGTTTCTTCTTATCCCACTCACCCTGCAATGCTGATGCTTTCTAGAGATCAGCTGTTAGTCTTCTTTTGTTAGTTCACATATGTTCCCCAAGATTTTTGATACCAAGGTGCCAGTTATACCTGTTTCTAAACCTGTATTTCCAGATCATTTTTCTCTTGTGAGCTTTTGATGTGACTGTCCAAATACATGCTGAATTCATGAAATGGGGAGGAGCGATCCCCCAAAAGGAGGTGATGTGGCTTCATCCTCCCACCCCGACTCCTGCCCGCCCCAGAGAACTGCCCACTGCAGGGCAGGAATCTTCCAGACGACTCTCTGCTCTGCTTGCTCCTTGATGCAGAGGGCACCCCTCACCTAGAGAGCCCCTGGCCAAGGTCTGCCCTCCAGTGGAGGGGCCTCATGTGCTTCTCCTCGGGAGCTTTCTTGGAGACAAAAACCTTCCTCCCCATTTTGACCTAAGGGGAGTGTGAAGCAGTGGACTGTTCAAGACCGGAAGTGAGTCAGGGCAGCGCCTGACAAAGGTCCCAGGTGTCCCCCGGGGTTGTCACTCCACCCAGGTTCACACACAGCTCAGGGCTGGTCTTTGGCTTTGATGGAAGCCTGCCAGGTGAGGGGGAGCCGAGGCTGGGTTCTCTGTGGCACCTTCCTGTGATGTTCCCAAAAGGGAGAAGGGAGGATGAGGAGATGCACATACCTGCTCCTCTGCCCCGCACCTGCAACCTGAGCCCGCCCTTATACATGTCCTTTGGATCATTTTTCTGCTTATCATCAACCTCTGGCTTCTTGTAATTGGTCAAAATCCTTACCCAGCTGCAAGGGCCGCCTCCCTGCACCACCTGCTCCTCGCTCACCTCATTCTGCTGGAGCCCTCTGCCTGCCTTCTGCTCCTGGAACATGCCCGGCTCTTCCGAGACTTTCCCATCCTGCAGTTCCCTCTGCCTGAAAAGCCCTCAGTAGGGGAAAAGAAGAACTATCAACCAGCTCCGTCAAAGACACTATCCAACATTCGGATGGCTGTTCGGGCTGTTGAGGTCTCTTCCTGACTTGGGTGTGGTCACAGGCCAGCATCTTCCAGAATAGATAAGACATTGATGCGGGTATTTACATCAACTCTTGTCCCCCTCTCCCCAGCCCATGTGCACCTCAAACTCCAGGTGTGAGAAACTACTCTCCTGGCTGAGAGACTGGGGGGTCCATAGCCCATCTGCCCAACTCAGATTTACTGCAAACCAGATGCCATGATTTGGAGTCCATTTAGGTTGTGTGGAAAGGATCTTTAGGGGTATAAGGCTGTTAATGAAAGCACCTGGGTCTATGTATAAGACTTATGTTCTTGCTGGGTATGGGTTCAATGGACATTTTTAAAAAATTGAAGTATAGTTGATTTAAAATGTTGTGTTAGTTTTTGGTGTATAACAAAATGATTCAGTTCTATATATGTGTGTGTGTGTGTGTGTGTATATATACATAGACACACACACATACACACACACATACACATTGTTGCTGTTTAGTCACTAAGTCGTATCCAAGTCTTTGTTACCCCAGGGACTGCAGCATACCAGGCTTCCCTGTCCTTCACCATCGCCTGGACTTTACTCAAACTCATGTTCATTGAGTCAGTGATGCCATCCAACCATTTCATCCTCTGTGCCCACTTTCTCCTTTTGCCCTCAAGCTTTCCCAGCATCACGGTCTTTTCCAGTGAGTCAGGCCTTCGCATCAGGTGGCCAAAGTATTGGAGCTTTAGCATCAGGCCTTCCAATGAGTATTCAGGGTGTGCACATATCAGTTCAGTTCAGTTGCTCAATTGTATCTGACTCTTTGTGACCCCATGGAATGCAGAAAACAAGGCTTCCCTGTCCATCACCAAATCCCGGAGCTTGCTCAAACTCATGTCCATTGAGTCAGTGATGCCATCCAACCATCTCATCCTCTGTTGTCCCCTTTTCCTCCTGCCCCCAATCCCTCCCAGCATCAGGGTCTTTTCCAGTGAGTCAGTTCTTCTCATCAGGTGGCCAGAGTATTGGAGTTTCAGCTTCAGCATCGGTCCTTCCAATGAATATTCAGGACTGATTTCCTTTAGAATAGACTGGTTTGGATCTCCTTGCAGTCCAAGGGACTCTCAAGAGTCTTCTCCAACACCACAGTTGAAAAGCATCAATTCTTTGGCATTCAGCTTTCTTTATGGTCCAACTCTCACACCCATACATGACCACTGGAAAAAAAATACAGCTTTGACTAGATGGACATTTGTTGACAAAGTAATGTCTCTGATTTTTAATTTGCTGTCTAAGTTGGTCATAGCTTTTCTTCCAAGGAGTGAGCATCTTTTAATTCATGGCTGCAGTCACCATGTGCAGTGATTTTGGAGCCCAAAAAACTAAAGTCTGTCACTGTTCCCATTGTTTCCCCATCTATTTGCCATGAAGTGATTGGACCATGATCTTAGTTTTTGAATGTTGAGTTTTAAGCCAACTTTTTCACTCTCCTCTTTCACTTTCATCAAGAGGCTCTTTAGTTCTTCACCTTCTGCCATAAGGGTGGTGTCATCTGCATACCTGAGGTTATTGATATTTCACCTGGCAATCTTGATTCCAGCTTGTGCTTCATCCAGCCCAGCATTGCTCATGATGTACTCTGCACATAAGTTAAATAAGCAGGGTGACGATATATAGCCTTGACGTATTCCTTTCCCTATTTGGAACCAGTCTGTTTTTCCATGTCCAGTTCTAACTGTTGCTTCTTGACCTGCATACTGATTTCTCAAGGGGCAGGTCAGGTGGTCTGGTATTCCCATCTCTTGAAGAATTTTCCACAGTTTTCAGTGATCCACACAGTCAAAGGCTTTGGCTTAGTCAATAAAGCAGAAGTAGATGTTTTTCTGGGACTCTCTTGTCCTTTTTCAATGATCCAGTGGATGTTGGCAATTTGATCTCTGGTTCCTCTGCCTTTTCTAAATCCAGCTTGAACATCTGGAAGTTCACAGTTCACGTATTGCTGAAGCCTGGCTTGGAGAATTTTGAGCATTACTTTACTAGTGTGTGAGATGAATGCAATTGTGCGGTAGTTTGAGCATTCTTTGGGATTGCCTTTCTTTGGGATTGGAATGAAAACTGACCTTTTCCAGTTCCTGTGGCCACTGCTGAGTTTTCCAAATTTGCTGGCATATTGGGTGCAGTACTTTCACAGCTCATCTTTTAGGATTTGAAATAGCTCAACTGGAATTCCATCGCCTCTACTAGCTTTGTTCATAGTGATGTTTCCTAAGGCCCACTTGACTTCATATTCCAGGATGTCTGGCTCTAGGTGAGTGACCACACCATCAAGGTTATCTGGGTCATGAAGATCTTTTTTGTATAGTTCTTCTGTGTATTATTGCCATCTCTTAATATCTTCTGCTTTTGTTAGGTCCATACCATTTCTGTCCTTTATTGTGCCCATCTTTGCATGAATTGTTCCCTTGGTATCTCTAATTTTCTTGAAGAGATCTCTAGTCTTTCCTATTCTATTGTTTTCTTCTATTTCTTTGCATTGATCACTGAGGAAGGCTTTCTCATCTCTCCTTGCTATTCTTTGGAACTCTGCATTCAAATGGGTATATCTTTCCTATTCTCCTTTGCCTTTAGCTTTTCTTCTTTTCACAGATATTTGTAAGGCCTCCTCAGATAACCATTCTGCCTTTTTGCATTTCTTTTTCTTGAGGATGGTTTTGATCACTGCCTCCTGTACAATGTCACGAACCTCCATCCATAGTTCATCAGGCACTCTGTCTCTCAGATCTAATCCCTTGAATCTTTTTGTCACTTCTACTATATAATCATAAAGGATTTGACTTAGGTCATAGCTGAATGGTCTAGTGGTTTTCCCTACTTTTTTCACTCTAAGTCTGAATTTGGCAATAAGGAGTTCATGATCTGAGCCACAGTCGGCTCCCAGTCTTGTTTCTGCTGACTGTATAGAGCTTCTCCATCTTTGGCTGCAAAGAATATAATCAATCTGATTTTGGTATTGACCATCCGGTGATGTCCATGTGTAGAGTCTTCTCTTGTTTTGTTGGAAGAGGGTGTTTGTTATGACCAGTGTGTTCTCTTGGCAAAACTCTGTCAGTGTGTGCATATATATACTTTCTCATGTTCTTTTTCACTATAGATTATTACAAGATTTTAAATATAGTTCCCTATAAATGGACATTCTGAGACACTGTTTATAAGCTCAGGCTTGGCCAAAGATCGCACTCTGGAGAGGCCTTTTTTCCTCCTCTCTTCTGGGCAGGATTCTCTTCACTTGATCTTAGCCAAAAGGCTGAGAAGCGATCAGGATTCTCTTCATGATCACAGAAGATCTCTGAGACTGTGTGGAAAAGAAGGACTGGCTAGCTCACTGGTGCTGGATCCTCATCATCAAAAAGACTTTCACATTGTAACATTTACAAGCTCTCAGAAAATATTGTGGCTAATATATATTTCACACACACACACACATGTGTAACAAACTAAATTTCCATTGACAGGTGAACAAAATGTGATATATATGTTCAGTAACATATTATTCAGCCTTAAAAAGAATGAGATTCTGACACAAGTGCCAACATGGGTAAACACTTTGAAGACCTTGAACGTGTTAGTCGCTCAGTAGTGTCTGACTCTTTGCAACCCCATGGTTGCAGGCTCCTCTGTCCATGGAATTCTCCAGGCAAGAATCCTGGAGTGGGTAGCCATTCCCTTCTCCAGGGCACCTTCCTGACCCAGGGATCAAACTCCAGTCTTTTGCACTGCAGGCAGATTTTTTACCATCTGAGCCACCAGGAAAGCCCCTTGAAGACATTATGCTAAGTAAAACAAGACAGGCCCCAAAGCAAAAATAATGTGCTATTCCACTTATGTGAGATATGCAGAATAGTCAAACTCATAGAGACAGCAAGTAGAACAGTGGTCACCAGGGGCTGGAATGGGGGATTATTGTACAAGGTGTCAGCCGGGGATGATGGAAGAGTTCTGGAAATGGATGGATGGCAGTGCTGACTGCATAACAATGTGAATGTATCAACACGCAATGCTACTGAGTTGTATGCTTCAAAATGGTTAAAGTGGTAAATTTTATGTCATGTATATTTTTACCACAAATGCATATACCGACACATGTAAAAAATGTATATCTGAATCAGTTTTCAAATGTATTTTTTACTTGTCTATTGTTACTCTAGCAGATGTCAGAAACTGTACTCGAATTGCTTTTTTAAATGTCTGCAATAAATCTGTTTATATCAGAGTGCCAGTTGGTTCCAAAATGGGTTCAGGGAAAGGTGAGTGTGAGTGTGTATGAATGAGTGGCAGTGAGTGTGCCTGTTGGAGTGTGAGGACCTAGGTTATAATTGAGTGAATAAAAAAGAACAGGTTAAACTGAGATGTTTAAAACAGATGGAGAAGTCCCCCAGGTTCTGTTAATAGCTGCTCTCTTTTCCACATGGATACTATGTAGAAAACTGAAAATATCCTGTTTCACAAAATTCAAAGTCTGAGGCACAAACATATCCAACTTTGTCAGTTTTAAGTGTAAAACGTCAGGTAAAAGCAGATGTGTAAACAGTGGTCACCCAGTGATCGTGGAAGTAAAATGCATTCATTCCAGAAACATTTATGAGCACATCATGTGTCAGGCAGTGGGGACAGAAAATGAATTAAGCCTAACCCCTCAAATTCTAAGCAGGACTGGCTACAGAATTTTAGGGCCTGGTACAAAATGCAAATACAGAGCCTGTTACGAAATTAGGGAGAATTTCAAGTTGATGACATCAGAGCATTATTAAGCCAAGCCCAGGGTTCTTCTAGGGCTTCCCAGATAGCACTAGTGGTAAAGAACCCCCCGCTAATGCAGGAGACGCAAGAGACACGAGTTCCGTCCCTGGGTGAAGAAGATCCCCTGGAGGAAGGCATGGCAACCCACTCCAGTATTCTTGCCTGGAGAATCCCACAGACAGAGGAACCTGGCAGGCTACAGTCCATAGGGCTGCAAGGAATCGGACATGACTGAAGTGGCTTAG